AAAATTAAGTCTTGTAAAATAGGCTTCTAAATTTAACTTTCTTTTTTCTTGAGATTATCAACACTCAGTAACAATCTGGAAGTAGTTACTAGTTCTTATATATATATATATATATATATATTGTATATTTATTACCAACTGGTACAGTGTAATCTGGTGGCAACTTTTAACATAGATAAGTAAAACTAATTAAGAAAAAAAAAGGTATACTCTTAAAGAAAATATTAATTAATGAAACATCTTTTTTCAGTTACTACATGATTTAACCTATACTACATTTAAGCATAAAAAGAAGAAATGTGTGTTAGATTGTAGTTTTCAGTTTAGAACAACTTACAAACATTTCTCTTTATTATTGATTTGCTTACCATAGAGTTCAGCAAGCCTAAACTACTACTTTTTTGCTTAGTTTTGTGAAGCAAAACTCCTTGGAAGGTTTCAATATGAAATGGAGATCAATCGCAGTGAGGAGTTTGATCTCTTAACCAAAATGTTACAGCCTCCACCCAAGAATGTCTGCACTGTGGCAGTGCATGCAGAAAACTGTATCACGTATGTCATAAATATTTTACTACTCAGCTTTGTGTATGTGGTTTTGATAATAATTGATATGTTTCACACTGCATTCCTTTTTTTTAATAATATATATATTTTCTATAGTGTATTTTATGTCCTTTGGGTCTTTAATATAGAGTAATTTGTGGATAACAACCTGCTGATCAGTGTGGTGAAAGTTATGTTTTCATGTAGATTGAAGCCCAGTCTTCCCTATATTGTTCCAAAATTTCAATATCACTGGAATATGATCATTCATTCTAGAATTTTTTTTTCATGTATGCATTTTTGATTTTGTTCTTTCATGCTTTTTCACCATCTCTTCATATGCTTAGAGGCCTAGTCATCTTCATCTCCTTTGCCCTTGCCCAGGTTTCTAATGAGGGGTGTATTTCCTTTAAACTGGTCTGTTGCAGACTGGACTTACACTTATTTCTCGATTAAATTGATAACTTTGTCAGTGAGATAAAAAGTTCATTATGTCTTATATTGTCTTACTATGGACTTGGCTGAATCAGCCAAGTTCATGACCCGAAATAGATCTTTATAGTTTCCATACTATATCTTCTAATCTGTTTTGTATATCTTCACACAATTTTGCAAGCTTTCAGTAATCATTAAGAGTCATTTGTAGACAAAATAATCTGAATTTTTAATGAAGTATTTATGCTAATAATTTCTCCATGAACATATGGAGTCAAAGTGTTGACTGCTTTGAGTGCAAATTGATTATCATGTTAAGATTAAAAACACTTCATTTAAAAAAATCTCAAATTTCATTTGCATAATCTTTAAAACCTCCTCAATAAATATCAAACGTTTTATTTTTCAGTAAAACTTTATATTTTATCTGCTATTTTCTCTACCCTAACTATACATGGTTGGTTAATTTGATTGACCTTGTAACCACACAAAACAAATTCAAAATAAATCTAAATTAATCTATTTTTCTTTCTAGAATGACTTCAGATTGTGGCATGAAACTACATTTGTTTATCCTAAATAGCTTTAAACTTGTAATAGTATACATCTGTTTCTACTTAAATTTTACTGTTTTATTCCCTTTTGAACTGTGTCTAACTAATATTCCTGCCATGCAAGTTTTATATCACCTGTTGAATGTGTACTTTGTGTTACTCTTTCAAATTATATAACACACAGGTTACTCACAAGCATACCTCATGAAAATTTTTATTGTTGTTATTATTTATTTTACCTTATCTAACTTAAAAAGTTTATAATTTTTACATTTTAGTTACTTTTATCTACTATCTACACAGGCATACCTGGAAAATTTAATTATTTTTAAGATTCTGTGAATTCATCTTTTATATTTCGTGCAGTTATTTGTACATTTGTATTATTAAACAGTTATGAATATTTTGTTTTAGGAAGGACAATAATGTACCACTTATACTGTAAATCTTTTTTCTCTGGGCTTACAATCTTAAAATCTGGTGTTTGATTTAAGGTGGAGAGTGCAAGTTGTCACTGTATAGCCTTGCTCTAAACAAAAAAAACCATCACCTACTATGCTAAGTCATACACAAAGAAAAATTCAAACAACCCTCTAAAGCAAAAATTAGGCTGTACATATTGTGTATCCTAAAAATATGTATTTAGTAAATATTATTTTGGCCCTTAATTATTGTTCAGTTGCTTTCTTGTGTACCAGCTGTTATTTTCTATTTGAAAGAATGTTACTGAGAAAATGGCAAGAAGTTAAAAATGGCCAAGACCACAACAGACAAGAGATGCTTCGGAAGATAGGAGTTTCTCTTTTTTATCACCAAATGTCCTTGATTGACAATGTGACTTGCCAATACCCTCCAACGAAGCAGTTTTTCACTTCATGTCTGGATGTCTTAGGACAGGTTAGCAGTGTTTCTTTAATATCCTAACTGAGAATAAGCAAATAAGAAGTCTTTCTTTTCCTGCAGTTTTTGTGTGTGAGTTGAAGATGTTGGCCAGATGTGACAGTTTTATGTAGCATCACTTTAATGTTCTGTACAATACTTTTATATTTAATTTCTCACTACTATGTGGACCTAGTCTTTTGATAGACATAAAACTTTTTTGAAACTCTTCTTTGATTTATCTCTTATGTTACATTGACAAATCTTGGTTCAAAACTGAAGCTGTTTTGATAAGAAAAAAGATAAATTGTTTCTATAGTCACTGAGACTTAGTTTTTGGAGATAGTCCTAACTGTTGATTAGGCCGAAGTTTACTGTATGTTAAAAATTTTTGTTGTGTGTGTTTTTTCTTGCTTAATTCTTGCTGTTTTTTTATATGTGTATATGCATTATATTATTTGTTTGTTTTTTTTTATCCAGGGATTTATTGTGAATGATGGAAAGCAGTGTTTACACTTACTGAAAGCCATCCTTACAGAACCAACATTGGTAGGCTTAGTTGCAACATTCTTCAGCCCACGGTTGGCATCTTCAGATACATATATTCACATGTATGATCTTTTAGCTAACAGCCTTACAACAAAAAGTGTTAACACATGTTTTGTGTTATTGAGTAAGGTAAGGAAATCAATAAAAAGTGTGGGTTGATTCATACCATAAAGTTAAATAGTTATATTTAATATAATTTTCTGCATAACTTATGAACTTAGAAGAAAATTTTCTTTACTTGTCTGTAACTTTTTAAAACAGGTACTTTGTGTATGGATCAGACCATTACATTAAGAATGAAAGGAAATAAAACTAGATTCACAGCACTTTTTTACATTAAAAAACAAACAAAAATCATTCTGAAGTAGCCGAGCACTGGTCTAAGTGAAATTGTTTTGAGTTATTGTTTATATTAGAATACATGACATTGTGCTATAATGTGTGATTTTAATTTAACGTACTCCATCTATAATCATAATCAACACATTTTACACATGAATCTAAAGCTTTAAAGCAAAATATTTGTTTATGTATGTCCATTAAATAAATATTTTTATACAGTATTTTCTCTGGATGACAGAAATCTGTTGTATTCTTCAGTTATTTTATTAAGCTGAATGTGCCTTGCTACTAAAGAACTTGTAAATCTATTATTTTGCTCTGTTCTCTGTTGAAATTATTTTATTTACTTTTAGAAATCTCCCACATCACATAACCATTCTTTTGACCTACTGATCACTTTGCATTTAAAATAGATCATTCTCAGTTCTTCATCTTCTGTATTTGAATTTGATATTGTAAGATATTTATAATTTTGCTTCAAAAAGGAATACCTTCTTATTTTTAAGTTCACAATTGATGGTAGTAATTTGCACATCCAGTCACCTTGCCATTCTTGTGACCTGTGACTACAAAGATTAAAAGTTCTGGCCATCTTGTTGCAACCCAGTTGAAGTATGATAACTTGGAAATGTAGATAGTACAAAATTGACCCCTTCCAAGAGGGTTACTTTATAGGAATTTCTGATATAAAGTTCTCCTATTTTGTGATTGGGAAAGCATTCGAGGCATGTAGCATTTGAAAGAAAAGGGTATCTGTAGCATCAAATTATTTTAGTGCAAAAAGAAAGGACATGCTTTTCTACTCCATGGCTGGTTACCAGTCACACACTGGAGTAACCATAGAACTTGCAACTAAAATAGGAAACTCCTTTGGAACTGTAAATTAACTAATTCACACAGATTTATGTTTAAAAACAGCAACATGAATAATGCTTTTGGAGTCAACTCTGATTATAAGTAAAATGCCTATTAACAAAAATAAATCATATTCGTTAATAGTGATTATAATTGAAATACTGTAAACTTTAAATAAATAAATAAAAAAAAATTAAATATTAGCTGAATTCACTAGTTTCTCCAGAAGTGTATAGCTAAATGAAATACTAACAGTCAAAAGATGTACGTGTAGTATCTGACACTGGATAGATGACATCACATTGGACAAAGCATATGTCTGCTTTCGAATGTGACAGAGTCCGTACATTTTATTTTAATTTTTCTGGTGATGTAACGTTTCAAAAATTTTACTGAGCATGATGTGAAAGTTTTTCCAAGCAACTCATGTGAGTTGCAAATTACAGGTATAATGGTACATTAAACATCCAGAGGAGTTAAACAAATTCCAAGATGAACTTGGTGTACTCTCAGGTTAACACCACAATATTATGAGGAAATATCTTTGTACAGGTTGGATGCCAATAAGGTGTGACTATCACACTTCCAAGTCAGGCCTGGCATGGCCAGGTGGTTAGGGTGCTCGACTCACAATGTGAGGGTCACGGGGTCAAATCCCCATCCTACCAAACATGCTCGCCCTTTCAGCCATGGGGGCATTATAATGTGATGGTCAATCCCACTATCTGTTGGTAAAAGAGTAGCCCAAGAGTTGGCTCTGGGTGGTGATGACTAGCTGCCTTCCCCCTTCCCTCTAGTCTTACACTGCTAAATTAGGGATGGCTAGTGCAGATAGCCCTCGTGTAGCTTTGCACAAAATTCAAAACAAACAAACATGCTTCCAAGTCAGTATGCCAGCTCCTCTTGAAGAACAAATTGGAATTTGCACGCACACACACAAGATGCATTTCTTATTGATAGACTTTGGAAAGTAAAGAGGAATGGAACAACAGTGATTTCTAATCACTACACCATAATTCATGCTGTGGATGTTGTACTTTAACCAAGGCTGTCACATAGAACACCATCTTTGGTGGTAAAAAGAGTTGTAACATTTACAAATTCTCATATTGCTCTTATAGATCTTGAACATCATTCTGTGTTTTCAGGCTTTACATACACTAGTGCAAACTCCCTTGTTTGTTTTCTCGAAAAACAATCCTTATTGTTTAATATATATAGATCATCCATTTACAAACGTGTAGTTTTAGTCATGGCAGTTCTGCCCTTTGGGCTTCCTCATTCAATATCTTTAATAATTCTACTGGCTTTTCCCATCTGTTGTTGTTCATCTTGGGAGAAACAATTAAAACTGCCATTGTCATGATTAGTAGCTTATACAATCATTTCTGTCTAGTTACTAATTTTTACTATTAGTTTTTATATATGTGTATCTAATTACTAATTATCAGTTAGTTTTCCTCCACCCCTCATAGCATTTCAGCTGGTATTCAGGAGAGTCCTGATAAGGGCTATGTGGTGGCAGGAGAACTAGTAATTAGACTTGGGTGAGACTACTAACCATGACATTCAGTCATGGCTAATTTACCTACTACTTAGTTTTCTCCAATTCCTCTATTACAGATTAGTTTTAATAATGTATGTAATGGTCTTTTAACAGTTTTAATATACCAGTGCAGTGACTTTGTTGAGTGTTGTTAATCAAAAGAAAGTTCTTGTTTTTATCATCCCAGAGTTAACAAACTTTCTGTATATTTTATAGGTTTTAGAAGTATGTTTCAAACACTGAGAAATATGAGCTTGTTTTTAATATCCATATTCAACATACTCTCAATTGCTCAATTTAATGTTAGAATGTCATTTATTTCTTTTGTTCTTTTTTTTACTGTAGTTTGATACACTAGAAAGTTTTGTTTAGGATGATTTTGATAGAGAACTGTCTTTTGTAGATAAACATGACACATTGGGATTCACGGATGTGTATCAAAATGAAAGATTAGACAAAAATTTACATTATTATTATTATTATTAAGACATCCATCTTTAAAATATTCCAAGAATTGAAATTAAGTATTTTTGTATTTTGCTGTATGGTTACTTGTGTCCTGTGACAGAACTAATCCATGCTGTTCTTTTAAGCTTAGTCACCTGTGGCTCAGTAGTTAGCTTAAAGACTTGCAATGCAAAAATTTTTGGTTTGATCCCTACCACAGACACAGTACCAACTATTGTGTTGGACTTTTCTAAAACAAACATTCATTAATTATTTTAAGCCTAGATTTGCTATTGTATGAGAAAAACAGACATATATGTAATAGCTGATAAAGAAACATACAAACAGATGGTGGGAAATGCAGAACAGTATGTTGTAATTCCATAGTAGCAAATATACTTTAAATTAATGAACCTGAAAATGTTTTTATAACAAGAAAAGAACATATTCAGTAATATCTTAGTAGCAAACATTTTGAATACATTAGTGATGGAAGGAACATCTACCAGTATCATTTTGGAAGTTTCAGAAACGTTTTTGATAGATTAATGGTGGTGGAGCACAGATTAACAAACAAATACTTAACTAACTATGTCCTTATAATATGGATTTTGGAGTTTTTAATTTTTTCTTAAGGGCATAAGCCTACTGAAATGATTGAACAAATTAAGAACTCCCTCCCCATCTTGTATCTTTTTGTTTTTAAGTCTTGCTGTACTGTTCACGTTCATCAATAAAAGAGCTTATATGAGTATAATATGATTTGTATATAATTCAACTTGCATAATAATGTTTTAATTTTTGCATTTATTTGTTAAGTTTGACCTTCCTGCCTGGTTGTCATGCTGTAAGAGAAAGTTATCAGAACGTTCAGGCCTCATTACAATCATCGGAAAAGCCTTGGCTGTCATTGGTAGCTGTCCTGATGAACAGATGTTGCTACTCTTTGATGTGAGTTTGAAATATATATAAAGTTCCTGATCCAATTAAGTTTTTCTGTGTGTATTCAGAGAAAGTGTAATAAAGTAGAGGCTAACTGACGTAAAGTGTTTCAACTTAACTAGAGCGAAAGTATGATTAATTAATCCTAAATTTGCAAGTTTTCAACCAGAAAATGGTCTTTGAATTAACCCCAGGCCTCGAGTATACAATAGACAAATACTTCTTTTACAATAATATTGAACTTTTGCATCCATAAATGGAAATACAGTTGTAATTTACACTGTTCAATGTTTTGACAGTGTGTTTAAATTGAAAACAAAGTTTATTTTTAACAAAGTCATTTAATACAGGATTTTATTAAATACCAGTCAATTTTTGCACAAATTACATCATTAGTTTTCCTTTTTTTTTCATCTTCATATTTTACTACCAAAAGAACAGAAAAAAGAGTATTTCTCATGGTGTATCAACATATAATAATTGTATAGGGCAATAAAAAAGGGATTATTTCAATGAAATGGTTTTAACAGTTCATTTTGTCAAACATACACCTCTGTATCGATCATTGTGTCACATGGCATACTATGATTCCAAGAGACACAAATCTGCATTAAATGTACTGACAATCTATAAAGCTTACAAAATAAACTGACTCCAAATAACAACAAGAATTATAGATGGTTTTGATTGGTTCTTTGAAAACATGAAACTATGTGAATTGCTCATTTTAGGAGCATGTATACACTAATCATAAAATCATAAAATGTAAGTTAAAAATGAAACTTTTCATGTAGAAAAATAATGTATAATTCTGATGAATAGCTTAATATAATGTAGCAGTATATACAGTGATTAAAAAATACAAGTTTTTCTTTGTTTAGCTTCTTTAGTGTTAACTGAAGTAATTATGGCATAGTGAACAGTATGAAAACAACTAAGATTTCAGGAAAAATATATATATTTATAACGTATGATAGTAGAAACATTTTAAAAACATAAATTGACAAAATGAACTATAAAAATAATCCCCCCCCACCAAAGGCTTATGGTCATTTTCATACTGAGCACATTTTCTTGTGTGTATGTTGAATTGATTTATGATCCTGTGTTTCAGAATTTTACATTTGCAGAAAACAAATGCAGCATCTTTTTAAGTTAATTATGGCTTTACAGTGAACAGTGTTTTATCTGATTTAAGTGTGCTGTAAAATAGAATGTTGCACATAAATGTTATGGTTTAAATACCAGGAGCTGTTGAAGCATAAGAAACCAACAGGCCTAACAGTTTTGAGAAAAATCAAGTAAAATAAACATTTGTCATTTATGTGGTTTTTATTCACAAATGTTAGGCCTGTTGAATAACTTTTTTTTCCAATCTTTATAGCTGTATAGACACCACCTGAGGCTTCTGACAATGTACCAATTTCCTGATCATTATGGAGATGTGATCCAACTTCTTCTGAAAGGTCAGTGTAGTTTCATCCCTACAATTCAGTGCTAATTAAAAACACTACACCTAAAGTTGAATTATTATGACAAATCTCTTATCTCATTCAGTGCTCAGATGATATTTTGAAGTATACAGTGATTAATGCAAATTTTTATCATGATTTGTGGAGAATGTTTAGTAAAATATGTATATTTGGAAACCATATTTGTCATGGTTCATTTAATGTACTTATCTAATTAAACTGAAAATTTTTGTATATTTTTTTCAAGAAGTAATGTAAGAAATATTTATATAATTTTGGATTATAGTAGCAAATATAGTTTAAAATTGAAATTTCATTCTTATCATTATCAGGCATTACACAAGGTGTTTTTTAATTATGATTAATGAGAGTTATTGGAGGAGAAACAAATACTTGTCAGCCTTTAAAACTATTTTTTTTTTTTTTTGGCTGTAACTTGCTGTTGTGATTCATCTTCTGATTATTATATTTCTTCTTTCTCATATTACCATAAAATGTACTTAATGTCTTCTGTTTTATTTTAATGTAAAGTAATAACATTTCAAATATATGTGTATTTTTATTCTATAGGAATGGATACCCACACCTTAAGTTTAGATGTTTGGTATGATTTTCTGCTGTCATTAGGTGTGACGATTAAGCCAGGAGAAAGAAATACTACTGTTTTGGGTCTGGCTATAAAAGAGTATGCTTATAACCAGAAGCTATTTCCAAAAAGTCAAGTAATAATTTTTTTTTCCTATGTGTATATTTAGATATATTTCATCAAGCTTAAAACTAGCATTTAGGCCTGGAATAGCCAGGTGGTTAGGGCACTCAACTCGTAATCTGTGGGTCACGGGTTTGAATCTCCCTCACACCAAACATGCTCGCCATTTCAGCGGTGGGGGCATTATAAGGTGATGGTCAATCCCACTATTGGTTGGTAAAAGAGTAGCCCAAGAGTGGGCAGTGGGTGGTGATCACTTGCTGCCTTCCCTCTAGTCTTACACTGCTAAATCAGGGACGGTTAGCACAGATAGCCCTCGTGTAGCTAGGCGCAAAATCCATAACAAACTAACAAACTGGCATTTATTTCTTTTTTTTTGCATTTGACAGTGATTTGAGGTTTTGTATGAACACAGCACAATAGTAAGCTTTGTGACTACTTTACAAATTTTGTGTCACTGTTTATTATTCTGAGACCATGTAGCATTATACTGGTGGGTTATATTTAATAAATACGCTGGAGGTTTTCAGTGTAAAACATAAGGTTTATTAACAGTGGCCATCTTGTACATAACTCTACACCAACAACTTTCTGTGTTACATACTCTAAAACTCTTATGCCTTTACTTATATCTGATAGGTAGCCCAACTCACCATTATTACTTGACATCACTCCTACAACTAAAGATATTTTTAAACAAGAATTCAGTGGTGGCATACATAATGTAGCTAGATGTGTAATATCTGTAGCCTTTCTAGGTTAGAATACTATCTAGACAATATCTGTAATCTTGCTAGATAGAATACCATCTAGATGTGTAATAGTTGAGTCTTACAAGGTAGAATACTATCTAGATGTATAATATTTGAGTCTTACAAGGTAGAATACTATCTAGATGTATAATATTTGAGTCTTGCTAGGTAGAATACTATCTAGATGTGTAATATTTGAGTCTTGCTAGGTAGAATACTATCTAGGTGTGTAATATTTGAGTCTTGCTAGGTAGAATACTATCTAGATGTGTAATATTTGAGTCTTGCTAGGTAGAATACTATCTAGGTGTGTAATATTTGAGCCTTGCTAGATAGAATACTATCTAGATGTGTAATATGCGAGTCTTGTTAGAAAGAATGCTATCTAGGTGTGTAATATTTGAGTCTTGTTAGGTAGAATAATATCTAGGTGTGTAATATTTGAGTCTTGCTAGGTAGAATACCATCTAGATGTGTAATATCCATAGTCTTGCTAGGTAGAATACTATCTAGATGTGTAATATTTGAGTCTTGCTAGGTAGAATGCTATCTAGATGTGTAATATTTGAGTCTTGCTAGGTAGAATACTATCTAGATGTGTAATATCCATAGTCTTTCTAGATAGAATATTGTTTAGATGTGCTCTATCTGTAGTCTTGCTCAATAGAATATTATTTTTATTCTTCGTGAATGACTTCCTAAGAAAAGACTTATCTTTTGCAGAATGTAATTTTTATTTTATTTTACATTTTAAAACTTCTTTCTGTATTAAGTTATTTTCCTAGTTAATTTTTTTTTAACGAAAGGTAGGATGCATCATTTAATTTATAATCTGCCCAATGTAAATTCAGTTAATTGTAAGTACTTTTGTTACCCTAACCTAGAAATAGAAGTACATAGTATTTTACAAATCATTGCTTAATCATTATTAACAGTGTCATTTGGTAGAAAGATGATAATAGACTACAAAGCTACATTTTAGAGGCAGGAAGAAATTTGAAAAATAAACTGTTATGAGTAAGTAATGAATGTAGAACATGTGACAGATTAATTTATTAAAATTTAAAGGATAGGCATTATCAAATCACCCAAGAAGACTTGAGTAAGTGGAGAAATTGAAAAAAAAGAAAGAAGTTATAAACTCATCCATTAAAATAGCTTTGCATATCCCAGTTTGAACGAATATTGTTTACTTAACATGTTTCTGCTCTGTTTAGGCACACGTGATCCCTGCAGAAGTCCGAATAATGAGATGTAAAAAAATAAAAAGTTTTATCATACGAAAAATTAAAATCACTTAATACATCAAGAACATTGCCCTTAACTTAATTCTGCATTAAAATTTCTTAAAAGATATGCTCTTTATGTTTGTAATATGCCCAATAGATAAATTTTATTTAACTAAAAATATTGATTTCATTGGGAAAATAATTCTTTGGCTATTTTACATTCTTATTTAATGCTAATGTCTTTTTTGTACAATATATTACTGTCACAATTACATACAAATAAACTACAACTGATAAAACATTTGTTTCCTTTTACATAGCAAGAAACTATGGAAAGCTAAGTTTTCTGAGCCAGTTATGCAATTTTTATATGTGAAAGTACATGTATAATCTCATAAAGTCACAAAACATATGTATAAAAGATAGATATTATCAATCACTGAAAAAATGTCTTGATTGAAACTTCTTATTTTCTGTTATTTTGATACTCATTAATTTGTATATTCTTATCCTAAATTTTTTGTTTTCCAAAAATTAGTTAACTTTGAGAAAATCAAATATTTTGAACAATGTTACCTAGATTTTTACCTCTACCACCAAAGGTGGACAGAAGTTATGTTTTCACCGTTATATTTGTCAGCAAGATTTCTCAAAAACAGCTGAATGGATTTCGACGAAAGTTGGTATATCTTTGGATTATGACCTAACTTAGAAGTGATTAGTTTTTGAGGGTCATGGTCAGAGGTCACACAAAAAAACTATCTGTTAACATGGGCACTGATTTTTCACACTATTGTTTTTATTTCATTACTCGGCCAAAAACGATTGTATTTTGATGAAACTTGGTTGACACATGAAGAAAATTATTCCTCACTGCCCTACCAAAAATGGTCCATGTCTGTTGATAATGATGGACATACAGACACATTTTTGTATTTTTTCTGGGCCGAATATTATCAGTGCTATGTGGCGGAGGTATGTGTTCTACTGAGTGCCTCTCTAGTTAGGTCGTTCTATAGACCCAACTGAAGCACAAAGAAATATGAAAATTATATAGTAAAATGCAAATGTCATCAGAAAATCCCAACTTACTGGTACCTCCAAGTGAAGGCTATAATGGAATAGCTGTGAAACGTAGTTCATTAGATTTTTATGAAACATTTTAGAGATTGTATTCTATAACAGTCACCATACGTAGTGTAAAACCATTCTCCTCTGCCTTTTGTTTCAGTAATGAATTTGGCACCAACTTAATCTTATTATATCTGAGCATGTTGCATTTGTAGTTTCTTAATTCATGCTTATGTTGTTTTGCTGAAATGATGGATAATATTTATTGCATTTTTTACCTAATGCCTTTCTGTATCATAGCTTCAAGACACTCTACTTGAACTAGGAAAGTATTTTTGGGAGAAACGTCAACAACTGAAGAAACAAGGACTCTATAGCAAGTATCAAAAATACATAGTTCCTTTGTCTACATTTCTGGGAGTGATATGTGAAGCTCGAGTTGTGGCTGAAGCTACTCGTAGCAATCAGAACACTGTTGAAAGTAAGTTCACTTTGAGGTCTATTATTTAGTTATTTCCAATATTCCATAGTGCTTGGGAGATGTTTGCACACAGCAGAATATGAATTTTATTTGTACTTTGTATTTGTAACTATATGCCTGAGGAGATGCTTATGAACCTGGTGCCTCAGGAGAAGTTTATGAACTTGGTGCCTTAGGAGAAGTTTATGAACTTGGTGCCTTAGGAGAAGTTTATGAACCTGGTGCCTCAGGAGAAGTTTATGAACCTGGTGCCTCTGGAGAAGCTTATGAACCTGGTGCCTGGGGAGAAGTTTATGAACCTGGTGCCTCTGGAGAAGTTTATGAACTTGGTGCCTTAGGAGAAGTTTATAAACTTGGTGCCTTAGGAGAAGTTTAT